TGAGAAGAATTATAACAAAGTACTTTATTTGTGCTCCATTTTTTTTTTTTGTCTAATTATGGTAGAATTATATTGAATTTAATTCTTTGTAAGAACATTTAATAAAAATCTTATTCTTCAATACCACGTGATATAAATAACTTGTTTTATACCTTAACAAAGAATTACGGCATCGTTCATTTCACCGATTCAAGTTTTTAGTTTTAAGTTTTTACAGTAAAAAGCTCTCAAAAAATGTCACATTTAACTTTTTTTGTTACAGTAAAAAGCTCTTAAAAAATGTCACATCTCAACTCGAATCTGTAAAGTGAACGATGTCTTATATTCTATAACATGTGAAAATATTTGTATATTTTTATACAAATTTAACAGTTAAAAAAAATCGAATTTTATAAATTTAAGGAAAAATTTAAGCCCCACCCCTGGGTTTATGCAAACGATCTCCTAGAACTTTACTCCAATTTCTAGATGCCGCACTGGTCTTTGTGGCTACAAAGAATATCACACATTTGTTTTTTTCCTCTCAATCTTAAAAAAAAAAAAAAATAGAAATTAGGATTTTAGAGAAAAATCTCAGCCTTCCAGGATTAATGGATGACTCTATGATGTGTGTTATGTGTATATATGTTTAGAATTTTAGGGCATGTTCTTTTGTCCAAAAAACTTAAAAAAAGACAACTCAAGTTTCAACTTTATTCAAGTTCACGTTCTTTTAAGTTTCAACTTTATTCAACTTCACTCAACGTTATTCAAGTTACAACTTCAACTCAAGTTATAACTTAAATTCAACTCAAAAACTACACTCAAGTTACATTCCAAAAGAACAATCCCTTAGTTTTTTTTTTCTTATTATTGGCAAGTTTATTAGTTTGGGATTTTTTTTCCCTTTGATTTGATTATTAAGGGCATTCTTTGATATTTTAAAAGTTTTAGCGGTCAAAATTTGTTTTGAACGGAAAAGGTATTTTATTAAACTGAATACATCAGTATAAATAACTCCCAATTACATGAGATAATACTTTCAACCTCAACCGGCTTCATCAGTAAAATCTAGTCAAGCTTGAGAAGAAAGACTTGTATTGAGACCCGATGATAAAAAAATTCCTCAGTACACTAATAATAAAGCACATGTAAAACATGTTTAACAAGATTTCTATAATAGTACACTAATAATAAAGCACATGTAAAACATGTTTAATAAGATTTCTATAATTGATGGAGGCATCCGATCGATTGAGAGCACATAATATGTAGCGCAGAGGCTGTTACTAATTCCACATGCAGCGCAGAAGCAAACACTAAAACAAAACTCTACTCATCACCATCATAAAACATCTAGCAAAGGACTAGCCGGCGAGAGTCCACCGCCACCGCAAGAAGCCTGGCACTGTGCGGACAGAATCCTCTAAGGAGCTTGGCCGCCAAACCAAGGACGCGCCGAGAGACGCAGTCAAGAAATGTACCCACCACTCACATATCCATATCCGATCCGACCCAACGGGACGACGACGCCCAACACTGCCACCACCATTACCACTGAGCAACCTACAAAGAGGTGAGTCGGAGGACCAAGATTGGTGGTCGGGAGTCCGGCAACACACCTGGAGGCAGCCCGAACTCTGGCCAGATGTGCACCACTTTCTCTCTCCATTCTGACTCTTATCTATTTTTCTACAATCCTTTATTAGTATATTCTTTTTTTTATATATTTTTTTAATATCAAGGACACATTTTGTATTAGTCAAAATAGTCTGCGAAGAAAAAATGTGTAGTAATGAAAGAACTTGAGTAGTATTCTTTAAAAAAGAAAAAAAGAAATTGTTAAAGAGATGAAAAAATAGATACCAAGTCAACAACAAAGTCCAAACGTAATGAGGAAAATTGTAAAATGACAAAACTCATCCACATAAGAGCTGTAAATCAAGGTTCAAAGAGGAACTCTGGGTCTAGTTTCTTTTCTCAGTTTATTTTCTTTTTTTGTTCCCCTTCTTATCTTCATCCCGAATTTCAATAATTCTTTACACAGGAGTGGAGGAGACGTCTGGTAAGAAAATTAATATTATAATTTGAATCATGATTCATAATTCGTTATAATATTTTTTCTCATAAAAAATACACGTAAATAAAAAATGATTCTAATCTCATAATTTTAATCTATGAACTAAACGTTGATAATCTACTAATTTTCTTTGTTTTTTTTTTCTTTTGTAATTGTATTACTTTCATAATGGATAAAAGTATATTTAAACTTGGATCCCATTATAAAGTGATGAGTTTGGACCATTTGAATTTTAATATTTGGCAGTAATCTGTTTAAGTTTTTCATTTTTTATGTGTCTTTATGTAGCTCAATTGTGCCCCTATTTGGAGTCACATAACATACCAACACGAAACAGTACATTTTTTTTTTAGAAACAATATTTTGATGGTTTTATTTATAATAGTGACTTGTTTGTTACATTGATATTTTTTTTTTTTGGTTTTTTTTATAAGATCTATTTAAAAGAGAACACTATTTTATTGAGCCTGAGCTTTTAAGATGAAAACTCAAAACTCTTAAGAAATTTATGTTTACTTATTTAAATGATCCTTGACTCAAATTTATTGTAGACTTTACATTATTATTGTAATCTGAGTAGCGCTTCTATTTGATGGGGCCAACCAGCCTCCTAATTCCGAATCATTTATCTCTTGATAAATAATTTTTTTAATATTTGTTTCAATCTGAATGAAATTACTGCCTTCAATAAAAGGAAAAAAAAAGGAATTATTTATTCACAACAAACAGGGGATTGAAGCGTTGTACTTGTAGATGACCATTCCTCTTCTTATTAGCTGTTGAATCCTTAAAGGGACATTTGAAAGAGGGATTCGTGTCATAATTCGTGGTTCGTTACAGTATTTTTTTTCCATAAAAAATACACGTAAAAAAAGAATGGTTCTGAATCATAGTTATAAATTCATGAACCAAACGTTCCCTAATTATCGCTAATGTAGGAGGATTAAGATATGATTTATTTTCAAAATCTATTAGACAAAACAAGACTCACATAAAACGAAGGCTGTGTTTAAAATTGATTTCGTTTTTATTTTTCACGTTTCGAGAAAAAAATAAAAACGTTTTTAAAACGGCGTTTGGCGCAATAAAGATAACAAATAAAAATGAAAATGATTTTTTAATTTAGTGTAAAATGAGAGAGAAATAAAAAATGACTTTTTTTATTTTTGTTTTTCCATCTCTCGAGCATAGAGAAAGAGAGAGAGACATTAATGAGTTTTTTTATACTTAAAACAATCTCTTGATAAAATTACTAAACGCATATTTAAAAATAATTTATATTTGAAATTGAAAATATTTTTATTTTTATTTTTATAAAAAAAATAAAATCATTTTGAAACGAATTCAAACGCACCCGAAATTAACAAACATTTCACTTTATGATTCTCATTTATTACGTGATCTACAGTTCTTTTTTTGTTTTTTTACTAAATGATCTACAGTTCATTTAATAAGACGGTTCTGACGTGGGTCATTATGCTATCTTCTCTTAAAATATTGTATGGTTGATCTGTACGTGAATTTTTTATATTTTGTTTATAAGTTTCTTTACAGCTCTAGTTGCTTGGATATGATCACTACTTATAAATTGTAATATTATTTTCTCATAAAAATTTTTACGGTCCATGTGGCTTTTGGTGTGAAGAAAATTGTAAAATTGTGTGTGAATTTAAATTTTTATTTTTTATTTTTTATTTATATCATTTTATTAATATAATTATTTAAGTAAAAATGTTATTAACAGGAGTAAATAGTAAAAATTTTGATAAATACATTTTAAAGAGATATTTTATCTCTTTTCTATTCGTGTGTTCTGCTTCAATATTGTTATAAAATAATAAAAGAAATGGAACTGTTAAGGTCAGTTTTTAATTATTGAATTTATAATAAATTAAAAAAATATGTAAAATAAATAATTTAAGATAGAGATCTGACGTGTAAAAAGTATGTGATTTATTTTTCCTCAGTTTTACAGGAGAAACTCCTTGGAAGAAAAAGAAACATGGTAAGCTCCTTGAAATCTGTCCGTTTCAGACGTGGTGAGCATGAAATATGACTCCCCTTTTCGCCGTTAAATGTTCTGCGGACCACACACTACCTTTTACTTTTCTCTCTGTTTCATTTCATCAATAGAAACACAAAACCCGTTCATTTATTTAAATTTTTAATTTTAAATTTTTATAATAAAAATTTTTTAAAAAATGTCACATTAATTTTTTTTTATTACAATAAAAAAATTTTTAAAAAATATCACATCTCAATTCGAATTAAAAATTTAAATCTGTGAAGTGATTTATAGCTCCGCTCACTTTACTGATTTAAATTTAAAATTTAAATTAAAATATATATTTATGTAAAAATTTTTTATTATAATAAAAAAAATAACTGTTTATGAGAGCTTTTATTAATTAAACCGACTTGTATTGGACGCCCCAAAACGACAACAAATCCCAAAAGTAACGCATGTTTCGCTTAAACTCATCCACATAAAGAATCTTCTCTCATAAATGTTTGCTTTTTTCTGTTTCGGACAAACAATAATTACTCTTTACAGCGTGTAAAATAACAAAATCCGATAAGATTATTTATTAATTATTTAGTTTTAATTAATCAGAATAAATTAGAATATTCTGTGGAAAAATGGAAAATGAGAACCAGCTTTTTATTAGTTCGGTGGTCTAGTTACAGTCCATCTAAAGTCTCTCCGAAATCAACAATATATAATCACCACCAAATTTACCCATTAATTCTTTTTTTTTTTTTTTGCTTCTCCGGCCTTTCGGAGACTCAAGAGCCAACCAGAATCAACAATCAAAGTTGGCTGAGTTTTCTTCTTATCTAATTTCCTTTCAAGTATATCCTTTTCTGTTCTTCTGTTCCCACTTTTTCAAATTTTAGTATTATTTTTTTCTGCTTAATTATTGTGTTACGTTTTGTTTTATATTCATGTAATATAAATATGTGTGACGCGGTTGGCGAATTCGTCTTTGACTGTTGTGTTGAACAAATTCTTTGCCAATTCTTGGGACTTCTCGAACTTGGGTTTGCCTAAATATGGAGTTTGGTTGGATTTCTGTGGTTTTGGACTTTTGGGTTCTATGATTTTCACAAATTCCCATCTGGGTTTTTTCTCAAGTTTTGATTTTTGGTCACTGCATGTGGTGATTCCACAGACCCAAGTTTGGAAATCTTCATTAAATTTTTTTTTTTGAGTTTTTCTGATGTTATATGAATATTTTGCTTTTGTACTAAGTGCTGTACGAATTGTGTACTGAAGTTTTCTTATGCATGTATTAAGATTTTGGTTTGAAGTTTACATGTTCTGTGTTGATTTTCTCTAAATTTGTCATTTATATATTAATTTAGGGAAAATGAAAGTGTCCATGTTCATTTGAATGAATCACGTGGTATTTGTTCTGCATACGTAGGAATTATATAAAATAATGAATTATAGGATCCGCTTGATTTGATCTGAATTCTTTGACTATTTGTTTACTAATGAGCAAGTCTTAAGCTACTTATTTCAGAGCTTCAGCATTTATTTATGTATATTGCATGAGCTCAAAAGTAATTTCCACTTGCGAGTTGCTATACCATAATAGTACTTCCTAAATCTCATAATCTTTTTATTGATTTTTGTTTGGAATTCAAAATGGTTTTCAAGGCTCATTTTTTGATGTTTGATTTAGGTGGTAGTTTCTAAAAAAGCTGGCGGAATTGCAAGTATCAGAAGCTTCTTCAAGTGGTGGAGCTCCGAGAATGAATCAACCGAAAATCAAGCGAAGAGTGGGAAAATATGAGGTGGGAAGGACAATTGGTGAGGGAACATTTGCCAAAGTGAAGTTTGCAAGGAATTCTGAGACAGAAGAGCCTGTGGCTCTTAAGATCCTTGACAAGGAGAAAGTTCTCAAGCACAAAATGGCTGAACAGGTCTCTTTTTAGTAAAATCAAAACTTTGTTTACTTTGTTAGATCTAACTATTGTATATTTATTTGTTCATTTTTTTCTTCTTTAATCTTCTGGGTGTCTATTTTTGTTTTCCTCTATGAATTGAAGCTTATGTGATGGTAAATTATCTCAGATCAAACGAGAAGTAGCAACAATGAAGTTGATAAAGCATCCGAATGTTGTTCGGTTATATGAGGTCTGTCTGTCTCCTTTATTTCTTAGTAATCTGCATTGTGGAACTTACCCAACAGGGGAATAGAATGAATGCTTTATTTCCCATTGGTGCAAGTTCTTTAAATAGTTTCTCTCTTTTCAGGTGATGGGTAGCAAGACAAAGATTTTTATTGTTTTGGAGTTTGTTACTGGTGGAGAGCTCTTTGATAAAATTGTGAGTAGTAACTTAATCTCTAATCCTATTTTAGTGCAGCGATTCTTGCGGTTCAAGACCGTGTTTAGTTTACTAATTCCTATTTAGCTATGCTAGTTTTATTACGCTTGTCTGTAATTTGATCTCTTAAACCTCTCAAATTTGAGATATAGAACTCTGATTGTGAAGGTAAACCATGGACGGATGAGAGAGGATGAAGCGCGCAGATATTTCCAACAACTCATTAATGCAGTTGATTATTGTCATAGCAGAGGTGTCTATCACAGAGACCTGAAGGTACTAATTTTTTAACACATGATGATCACGACCTGCACCGGTCCAAGAAAATAACATTCATGGACGCTATTTTGTTTTATGATTCTTTTGCAGCCGGAAAATCTGTTGTTGGATGCTTGTGGAAATCTCAAAGTTTCTGATTTTGGATTGAGTGCATTGTCCCAACAAGTCAGGGTAGGACTTGTATTATTTCTTCTAAACTTTACAGTTCTTCTTCGTGCATTTTCAGTCAATTCTCTGTGAAATTTGGGTTGATCCGTATGGCTAAAGAAGTTTTAATTTTACACTCTCAAATTTAGACATACTAGCTGGTGAACAAAGAAAAAGATACACCCAGCACCTATAGTGCCAAAATTATCATCCTTTTCCTTCGTAATTTCCCTTTAAACTTTTCCGAACATAGGTGGTGTTCTCTTTCTTTCTCTTTCTCTCTCTGCACGATTCTTGTACTGAAAGTTTAAGTTGACAGGACGATGGCCTTCTTCACACTACTTGTGGTACTCCAAATTACGTTGCTCCTGAGGTATGGACCGTTATTATACTAGCTACTTTTTCTTCACGCTTCTGGTGCATCATGTAACTATGTCTATCTTGGTATTTAGGTCCTTAATGACAAAGGCTATGACGGCGCAACTGCGGACTTGTGGTCATGTGGAGTGATACTCTTTGTATTACTTGCAGGTTACTTGCCCTTTGATGACTCTAATCTTATGATCCTGTATAAAAAAGTGAGCATTTTACTCATTCTATAGTGTAGCCTCCTCTAATTCTTGGTCTTCAGTAGTTACATTTTATCTCCTTACATGCAGATCTCAGCTGCTGAATTCACTTGTCCCCCTTGGCTATCTTTTAGCGTGATGAAATTGATAGCTCGAATCTTGGATCCAAACCCTATGACAGTAAGTAATTCGCTTGGACAATTTAGTCTCTTGTTCTTATTCTTTTGGTAGTATGTGTATCATACTTTAGTGCACAATACAATCCTTTTGAACAGCGAAAAGGCACTCCTAGAGCCGCTTTTAAACTGCTCTTAAGAATTGCCACTAAAAATAGATTCATAAACTAGATTCACATTACTGTGCGGTTGGCATCTCTTATTACTAACTTGATTGTCTACTGCAGCGCATCACCATACCCGAAATTCTAGTAGATGAATGGTTTAAGAAGGGGTACAAGCCTCCGGTGTTCGATGAGAAAGAAGATACAAATTTGGATGATGTAGAAGCTGTTTTTAAGGATTCAGAAGTACGTTTCAAAGATGATTTTTACCATTTGATATATCCGCTTTTGTGAGCAACTTCGAACCTGCTTTGAAGATAAGATCTTGTGTCAATGTCTTGTCATGAAAAGTCCCCTCATGCTTTATTTGTCTTAACAGGAGCACCATGTGACGGAGAAGAAGGAAGAACAACCAGCAGCTATGAACGCATTCGATTTAATCTCAATGTCCAAAGGGCTTAACCTTAGCAACTTGTTTGATGCTGAACAGGTTCACAGATCATAAACTATTCTCCCTGATATATGTCGTCTATGCCATGGCATATCTTTGTGAAATACTGCCTTTGCATCGATATTCAGCTTTGTTCTTTTGGGGTTATTTGGTGAAAAGAGTTGAAATTTAGGCGGTATTGTATATCTGTGCAAGTAACTTGTAAGCATTGTAAAAATATGCAAGTCTTCCGGGTTCAGGAGAACTTATTTTGCTATTCCTGTTTTTCTCCCAAGATCTGAAAATATTCCGTTGACTGTAGGATTTTAAGAAGGAAACAAGGTTCACATCGAAATGCCCTGCCAACGAAATAATTCATAAGATCGAAGAAGCTGCAAAGCCTCTTGGTTTTGATGTACACAAGAAAAATTACAAGGTGAGACATTGCCAGCAACATATTAGTCTTCTCAAAAAATCTTTCGAAATTCCCTGAAAACTAAACTATTTTTATTGTTTCCTCCTCAGTTGAGGCTCAAAAACATGAAAGCTGGAAGAAAGGGAAATCTTAATGTTGCTACAGAGGTCGCTAGCAATGTCTCATTTCATCCCAGGAGATAAAATTTTTTTAGTTTTTGCTATAACTCTTTCTTGACATTTTTTTTGTTTCCTGATCAGATATTCCAAGTTGCTCCCTCGCTTCATATGGTTCAAGTGAGAAAAGCTAAAGGAGACACATTGGAATTCCATAAGGTATAATACCCTTTCCTTCTTTCCTTTGTGTTATTAAGTAACTATTTTATACCCTGCATTTTAAGCTTATAAAAAATGTGTACTATACATTTCGGATGTTCTCAATATTGTACCTTTGAATTCTAATTTCATATCAAATTTGTACTCTCTCTTGGTCAACTACTAGTTTTGTCCACTTAAATGGCGACTTTATAATGTAAAGATTACCATTAACTTCTTCATTGAATACCTCACAACTTCTAAGTCGTCATCTAACTGGTCAAAATCAGCATTTGATTGAGAGAATGCATGAATTTGGTGTGAAATTGAAATCCAAGGATAAAATGTTGGGAACATTGAAAATACACGGTATAGATTTTAACTGCGCTTATTAAAAAGCGATGTATAAAAGAGTGAATAAAGATTTTCCCTCTTTCATTCAGTATTCCTTGTATGTCTAGGGACAACAAAAGATTGAGAAATACCATTTAATTCCAAAAACATATTTCTTTAACTGCAGTTCTATAAAAACCTCTCAAACAGCCTGGAGGATGTTGTCTGGAAAACTGAGGAAGACATGCAAGAAAACAAGTGAAACCTTGTGTCCATTTTGGAGTGTGATTAGCAACCTTCTTTTTTTTTTTTTTTTTTTTTTTCTCTTGTCATGGAAATGGACAGACTTGGATCATGGATGTTACCAAATGTTTTCCCATGTTATTAAGTGTTGGAAAACATGCATATCATACCCTCACTAGAAAGTGCAATTACTCAACTCGTGTTCATCCTTCAATATCAGTATATCACAGTCACGAAAGTTATAGTTGTAAGAAATACCTCTTTACATTCATTTTGGAGAGGCTCTTTTTTTTTTCCTAGAGAAATTTTGTTCAGTTTTGTATACCTTTTTTTTTTTTTTTTTTTGGCTCAAATTGTAACTTGATATAATATATGCACTTGTGGTCTTGTTTTCCACACGTAGGCAGAGTGAAAACCGTACGGAATACAAAAATGAAATTGTAAGGATCTAGACCATGTGATCATGAAGTATGGGCGCCAACTTCAATTGACTTATCACGTCATATCACTATCAACACAATGATGAATAAAATATATTGTGACGTCCCTCTCAAGTTAATTTGAATTGGATATTATATTTCTCCCATTCTTGTAAAAATTGAGAAAATTTCGTAATTCTAATTTCTCAAATTTCGTAATCTGATATGATTCGAATTTAAAATTTAAGTTGTGTTACATTAAAAGTTTTCAGAAATAATTACATTTAATTTTTTTATTACAATAAAAATTTTACATAAAATTACATCTCAACTCGAATTAAAAATTTAAGTTAATGAGCTAAACGAGCCCTGAATAGTAAATATAAATATTTTGTTATTTTATATAACATAAATTAAGTTACATATTAATTCAAATTAAAAACTTAAATTAGTGAATTAAACGACTTTTAAATAGTAAATATAAATATTTTGTTATTCTGCATTGCTGGTTCTCGAATCGAATTCGGGTGCGGAAGCGTGGTAGGAAAACAGCGGATCATATATAACAAAAATTTTCATAAAACTTTTGACATACTCTATAGATTATATTAATTTATGCACGAATAAATTAATCACATTAATTTACATCATTCAAGGATCAACCGAAAAATACCTGGAAGCCGACTCGGATGATAACTTGAATTTCTTTGACCACGAACAGTCCTTGCTCCAAGCTTTGTGTTTAGAATACCAAAGTCTTCCACGTCAATTCCTTGATTCCACGTAGACGTGTGTGTGGGCACACGTGAGACAAAAATAGGTTTCTTAAACACTCGAATTTCCACAAACACCAACGCATGCACGATGTGGAATTTTTGGAGAAAAATATTTTACTCTCTTTTTCCTCTATGAGAATTTCGGCCACACTCAAAAACTAGGGTTGAAAAATTGTTAAAAAATTGTCTCTACAATTTTCTATCTTTCTCATATTTAAAGAGTAGAAGTCAAACTTCAAAATAGAATCAAATCCTTATCCAGTAGTCCAATTTTAATTCAAATTCAAATTCAAATTTAAGTCAAACTTAAATTAATTTGAATTCTAAATTGAACAACTTATCAAATAAGTTTAAATGGATAAATCTAGATATGTTCAAATTCAAATTTAAATAATCACATTATTTAAATAATAATTAATTCTCAATTAATTATTTTTTGAGTATTTAATTTTAGAATTCCGTAATTCTAAAATTCCCATTTTGCCCTTTGTGTCTGGTAGAATTACAAGGACGACGCGGGGACATATGGACCTATAATTCTGAGCTCCAATAAAATTAATAATTAATTAAACACTTTAATTAATTTATTAATTCTATTAATTCCAATAGTTACTCCACTATAAACTTGGAATTGAACTCTCGAAATTATAGACATTAATTACTTTTAAACTGCGAAGTGTCCATTTGATATAGTCATTACATATAGATCAATCCTCCATAAATAATTCATAATTAGAGTCAGGTAGAATCTGTTAACCTCTCTAATTACATCTTTATCCTTGAGTACCATTGATTCTCTAATGGATAGTGATTCATAAAACACATTCATGAACCAGAGCGCTCTTACTAATCCAAGTACCGAATCAACACTCAAGAGAATTATTTATCTGCTTCTTTCTCAAGAAGGAATAGATTCCATCTCGTATAATAACATTCCCAGCTACCTATTTCATTATGTCTCCAAAATACAAGGAATAGGATTCAGGGTTTCGGAATCCGTACCGAGTAAATCAAAAGACATAAATCCATAAATAGGAGTTTGTTAAGAACTCAAGATTAAGATCATCCTATATATGACCATCGGCAGACTCAATTAGAATTTCTATGCTTAACGAAAATTATTAGAAATTCATATTGTGTCTGCGTCCATGTTCCACATAATCTCATTATGCGAAATACACTCATTCAATATCTCGCCATATTAACAGTACGGATAACACCGTTCCATTCTAAATGGGAATGACATGTATTAATAATGTTTTAATTAAAAATTCTGAACTTTAATTAAATTCATTATGAACAATTACTTTTGATTATTATCCTTAAACATTATCCTCTCATATACAACACTTATATACCATGTTTAAGATTACATAAATAATCAAGGAATTTTATTTGATATTCATAAAATATTCATAAATATATGCACATAAAATGATGAATAAACTATTTTATTAAATAAATAATAAATATCATTTTACATTTCATGCTTCTAGGACACTATTTCCAACATGCATAACATAAATTCTAAGTTGATTGAGAATTTAGTGGATGTTTAGTTTATGAATTTAGAATAATAATTCAGAACTATTCTCATTTTACGTGATTTTTTTGAGTAAAAAATTATGAATCATGATTTAAAATAATACAAAAAATAAATACCTCCTATCTCATTACACTCTCGGTAGGTCTCTAAAAATGTATTGCTCTGATATTAAATGATAACGTAACTCTCAAGGTAGCATTTTAAATTATTGGATGTGATATGTGAATATATATGTATGTATTTATGTACGATTGTATAATATTATCATTTTCAGTAAAATCTTACTATGATGTGGTAGTACTACACAAGCAGTGGAGGCTGCAATACAAGACGTGAATAATTAGTAGTAAATTCTTACCCGTGTTACACTTAAATCTGTAGATCAAGACGTTTTTGTTTTTTGTGGTGTTCAAACTTACAGAATGAAAATGCCACCAACCAACATTTGGAGATATTTCTTTTGTACTAATGACACGCAGGCAATTACTGTTTTGTTGAAATGACCTGGATTAAGTAATAAGTAGGTCAGAAACATTATTTTTGTCGGGTTGTATATGTCATTTACATCATTGTCAGATCTACCAATGACTTCATGCTTCATGCTTTGTGAAAAAAAAAGGGATTATTTTCACTTTCGGACTTGAGGAATGGGCACGTTCGCTTCACCTTTTTAATTTTAAATTTTTACGGTAAATAATTTTTAAAAAATATCATATTTAATTTTTTTATTACAGAAATTTTTTTTAAAAAATATTACATCTCAATTTAAATTAAAAACTTAAATTTACAAAGTGAATGAGACTAAAGAGACGTATAATAAAGGAATTTATGTCATAATTTAAATCATGATTCATAATTTATTATATTATTTTATCTCATAAAAAATACACATAAATAAAAAATAATTATAATATCATGATTATAATTCATGAATTAAGGTTCCGTTCACTTCACCGATTCGAGTTTAGAATTTAAGTTTTGCTATAGTAAAAAGTTCTCAAAAACAGTCACATCTAACTTTTTTATTATAATAAAAAGCTTTCATATAAAATTATATTTTAACTCGAATTACAAACTCGAATCAGCGAAGTGAACGGCATAAACTTCTCCTAATAGTGTCTCACTTTGGTCACTAACACTTATAATGGCACAAATTTAGCTTCTGAAGTTTCAGTCTGTCACGCTAATAGTCCTTCCACAACTGACAAACAACAATAAAAATATTAATATTATAAAATTACCGGTACTTAAATTTTATAGAAATATAGATGTCGATGTAAATTGAAATAAAATAAGAAAATTCCTACTAAAATACTTTAATTTTAAATTAGATTTTAATAAACTCTAAAATAGTTAATAACACATAAATTAGATTAAACTATCAATTAAAATACTAATTGAGTGATAAATGATGCATGATAAAATGTAATCATAATACCATAAATAATAATAATAATCACACATTCACAAATAAGTTAAATAGTTAAAAGTCAACCTAATACAAAAATCTTACATTCATGATTTCATACTAGATGACAAAATTATTAATTTTAAAAGGAGCTTCTAGGTGGTTTCAAATTATTTCGAACACATTCTTGGTTTAAATAATATTTGATATTAAGACATCGAAATTGAAATACAAAAAATGACATAAATTGTACATTATTCAAAATTCAATTAAAAATATAAAGTTATCAATACCTAGGAAATTTTTCCCATACGTCCACGAAATTTTCATAACATTTTCACCATATTTGATCATTTAGAACTTCACTTTTCATTTCCATATTACCGTAAAAATATTGATATTTATGAGAATTTCTACGGAAATTTCAAAATATTTTACAGAAAAAGTACGACATCCTTATTTTCATATAAGTACTTTCACAATTCGAAAATTTTGGCGAAAACATCAATAAAAATTTCGATTTTTTCAATCCTTGCACTAGCCATTTCCACGCATAGCAAATACCAAGATGAACAACTATTTCCAAGTCTAAATAGCAAATTAACTAGATAAACAACCATTTAATGTTTGGAGACGAAAGGACTGTTAGAGTGATACACTAAAATCTTAGGGGCCAAATTTGTATTTTTTGAATTGTCAGGGATCAAAGTGAGACGATCCTAATTCCTCAAGGTCCAAAAATGAAAATAATCCAGAGATAGGAAAGCTGGAATTTAATTAGAGCAGTTTGAAGGCAAAGTAGATGGTTGGAAGGGTGTTTTAGGTGAGGAAGGAATTGAAGAATTGATGGGTGCGTTTATAACTTGTTTTAAAATAATTGTGTTTTTCGTATGAAAATAGAAATGAAAATGTTTTCAATCTCAGACAGAAATTATTTTTAAAAATGTGTTTGATAGTTTTATTAAAAAATTATTTTTAGTATAAAAAAACATATTAATGTCTCTCTGAACGAGAGGAGAAAATAAAAATAAAAAATGAAAATTTTTTTCATTTTTCTCACATTTTACACTAAATTAAAAAATTATTTTTATTTTCATTTTTTATCTTTAATTGTGTCAAACGCCGTTTTGAAATCGTTTTCATTTTTTTCTTAAAAAATGTGAAAAATAAAAATTAGAACAATTCTAAACACGACAGAAATGAAAATTTTTTTCATTTTTCTCACATTTTACACTAAATTAAAAAATCATTTTTATTTTCGTTTTTTATCTTTAATTGTGTCAAACGCCGTTTTAAAATCGTTTTCATTTTTTTCTTAAAAAATGTGAAAAATAAAAATTAGAACAATTCTAAACACGACATATGTTTGTATAAAAATATTTGTTGGCGTTCTACTAAAAAATATTTGTTGCTGTACTTCAATTTGATATTGTTATTGATGGTCTAGAAACTTCTATTATAAGTTTTCTATCTAGCCTGGCATCCCACATGCCTCACGTCATAGTCAAATTTATCACAACCATTTTTTTTTTCTCACTAATTTCTTATGTGTCAACAAGTATGTTGAAATGTTGCATGCATAATTTCTTATGTGTCACAAGTTGCATGCATATAGGCCATGTTATTTTTATAGGAAAATATGTTGTTTATATTTATGTGTCTATCATTTGAATAATGCTAACTCAAATCTCAATTTTTACGTACTACATTAATTAATAATAAAAAATTACATTTATTAATAAAAAGATAAATCACATACAGTGATAAAGTTAGAATTTTTTTTTCAAGAGGCTAATAATTACAACAAAATTAATGTATTAAAATTGTCCACGATAAGTTTTCATGCCTTGAAAATGTTACATAATAGTCTCATTATCAAGGTCATTGAAAATGTCTTTCTCAATGTACACAAGTATCATTCAACAACTGATCTCCCTTTCGATTGAAATCCACCTTACTTGATTTAGTACCACCATCATTTTTTCCAGTAAGACTTGAAAACTCTTCTAACTTTCTTTTACAATACTTTTCAATCATTCTCAATCGATTGCTACATAAAATATGAAAGAAAAAAACTTTACAATAAACAATCCGTTCTTACTTTTATTAAACAAATAAACATGTGAACATAATGAGTGTAATGTATTTAACTACGTAATTAGTTAAACCCTAATGTATATCAAAGAATAAAAAAACTCAAATCCCTTGAAAAAAAAATTCAACTATGATTCTATGAATTATGTCATATTATAATGTAATAAAATAAAAAGAAGTACAAAAATAAATAAGAAAATAATTAAGATGAGGAAAAAAATTATCAAGTGAAAAAGAAGAGGTTATTTATTTATTTTTTATATTTTATATTTTATTTTTACTTCTTTCTTTTCTTGATCATTAACGTAAAACTTATGGAATTGAGATGTTGGGCAGCTTGGGCTTTAGTAATTAGTATATTGGGTTTTTTGGACTAGTGGAGTAAATTCCAAGTAGTGATTGGTAGCTGATTTTAAGTACTCAGGGGCTTTATATAGATTTCCATTATATGCTTATATATTTATTTATATATATATATATATAAATTTTAAAAAAATTTCAAGCCCTCCCTCGCCCCTTGTATCTTCGTCGTTGAACTGGTACGTAAAAATTGAGATTTGAGTTAGTATCCTTAGTATTACTCGTATAATTTAACAGAGAATTCTATGAACTTAAAGAAAAAGTCCATGTGCAGTTTTTAAAAACTATATTTAGTTTGATCTAATCTAATGGTTAAAAGGAAAAAAAAAAAAAAAATCATATCCTACCCGTTGTATGGTAGTTTTCATTTTTTTTTTTTTTCTTTTCCATGTGTACAGCCGAATTACATTTTTATCCTTAGTAGCAAATAATATTAATAACAATCTCCTACTGATATGCGATTTAATCCATAATTTTATCCGTTCTTTTCAAAAGATGCATCTAAAGTTGTAATGATATGGATATTGTAATGATAAGGAATCTAAAAGTAAAACTAATTGCTATTTATAGAGATTATATTCAACGTATATGAAACATCTGATATTTGCAATATTAATTGTTGATTTTAGAATCTGTATATTGTGTGGTAACTGTGCTGATTATTGTCTAATAAATTATTTATTAATGACTGAAAAATATGAGCTTTCTAATTATTAATGAATTATAGTATCGATTAGGAGTTATAAATTACTCAAAGTTTGAATGAAAGAGATAAGAAAATCATTCTCTTAGATTTATAGCTCCTAAAATTATTTCAAAGATTAAATTCATAAATATCTCCGGAGCAAAGTCCGGAAACTAAAGCTAAAGCAAGGTACGAAGCTACAGTTAGCAAGCTGCCTTGATTCTTCCAACCAACTCCCCTGTTATGTTCTCAGCGAACAACCACCTTGCCGGATTGATGAAGGCATATTCCTTAATAGAAGAAAGGATAGTTATTCTCGATGAATTAATTTAATATGCCACTCCAATTTTAAAAATGATTCATTTCATTTATGAATTTATAAAATCTTCAAAATACTTTAATTCACAAACACCGTGATTCATGTATGTTTGTACTTTGTAATTTTTTTAGTCACCACAAATGCCACGCACTACCAACTTCACACCTTATTATACTACTACTTTCATATAGTAACGAAGAACTAATGAGAATCCCATAAATAATCTCAAGAATTTTTATGATTAGCGTCCCGTTCATTTTATCGATTTGAGTTTAAAATTTAAGTTTTGCTACAGTAAAAAACTTTAAAAAACAGTCATATATAACCTTTTTGCTACAGTAAAAAACTCTCACATAAAATCACATCTCAATTCAAATTAAAAACTCAAATCAGTGAACTAAACAATACTTAAATTAAAAAAAAGAAAAAAAACTTGCCACCAAATGTTTCACCAACAAAAGGGCCAAGCAAAGATGATAAGGTCGAAGAAGTAAACAACCTTTTTAAAACAAAAAAAAAAAAAATCTATTACGGTATTACCTATTATCAAAGGAGAATCCTTTTTGAATAGTGTCCCCAGGAGCTCATCCATGCTGCCATGTGGCAACTTTTCCCTCTCCCCATCTTCTCTCTTTTTCTTTTTACATTTTTTTTTATCTTTATCTATGCCCAATAACTAGGAGAGAATCGGTTTTAGGGGACATGATTAGGGGATGTTTAGTTGAAGGATTCAAACCATGATTTGAATCATGATTCATGATTCGTTACAGTATTTTCTCTCACAAAAAATACACGTAAATTGAAAATAATTCTAATCACATGATTATAATCCATGAACCAAACGTCTCTTATGTTTTGTCTGTTTCTCTCCCTCAAAATCCATTAGAAAAAATAATTTTTTTTTGAGAAAATGATTCGGTGTGGCACGTTTCAATGGAACTGCCACGTGTTGGCAAATGATGGGTTGGTTTAGATCGTGGGCTCCGCACGGGTGGAATACTAGTTGGATTAAACGAGAGACCACTTGTTAGCTTGGGCGATGAAAAGACGCAAACGTGGACCATGCCACACTGGAACGCGCGCGGAAAGAAGGTGGCCGACATTAATGACACGTGGTGCAAGCACATTGGATGAATTGAGACACTTTACGGCCCCGTTCATTTCGCTGATTCGAGTTTAGAATTCAAGTTTTGCTACAGTAAAAAACTCTAAAAAACAGTCACATCTAACTTTTTTACTACAGTAAAAAGCTCTCACACAACATCACATCTCAACTCGAATTAAAAATTTAAATTAACGAACCGAACAGGCCCTACATAAACACTATAAATTTTAGGTTTGGATTGACATATACTAGTAAACATAAATTATTATAGAAAATGCAACGGTCAATGATACTTACAAATCATAAAATTCGTAAAAATCACAAATATATAGTGAAAAATCATAAAACTCTCATAAAATCTAAATATACTGACTGAAATACATAAAATTACAAATATAATTTTATTTAGTACACAAAACTTAAATGATGTTACTGTGGTATATTTTATAATAATTTTAGTACTTATGACAAAAGTCAATTAAACATTAAAAATCATAGCATATTGCCTAAATATCTCACTGAATTGAGTAAGTGGCATGCCCCACTTGGAGCAGACCTATGTCGCATCTGCCCCTTTGACAAAAGTCAATCAGCCATCAATCACATGCATATCCAATCGTTTTTTTTTTCCTACGTGATCGTAAATGGGGATTTCAAACATGGCTATCAGATAGTGAAGACTCGTAAAAACATGAAAACCAAGGATGAAAATTTTCTCTTGTGGCCTTGATTCATCAAGAAAGTAAAGCCATAAGCATCACCCATACGAGAATTCGCAAATCCAAAAATCAAACGAAATAGAAACCACAGCTTCGCGCTTTGACGAGCTGAAGAAATATTTGACAAATCGATGACAATGATCATACTGCTCTTTTCTCTGCATCATGTTTGAGGGGGTGGAGATGTTCCACGACGTTTAACTTTCAAGTAGTCTATACACTGTAATTTCTTGCTGCTTGAAATACCGTCGATCCTCTTCATCGACCAGAACCAGGTTAAGAAAGTACTTGACACTAAACTTGTTGTTGATATTGCGATATGTTGGTGTAAGTTCACAAGGACTGAGAAATAGTCTAACAGGAATTGATTCGCCTATATAAGAAAAAGTGGTGTTAAAAGTTAGAAATGCATAGAAGAAACACCATGGTAACGAGGGGAAAAAAAAAAAGCAGCAATTAACATCGTTTTTTTTTTTTTTTTTTTTTTTTTTTTTTTTTTTTTTTAAATCTCCCAAGCCGAAGTACAACATTAAGTAGGGAAGAAGTGATTAGGAAGCTGGTTTCCGTGGGTTTTCTAGAAATTGTGGCGCTCTAATTGTGGAAAACCTGTTGGTTTTGGTTCGAGTAAGGTGGCAAAGGTGATGTGAAAGTTGTGGCGCTGGCTACTTTTTGGGTCATTTTGATGGAAAGGAATGGATAGATGTCCGGAGAGATGGGAAAAAAAAAGCTAGTTTTCTCTTTGAAAGAGTCGATACGTAGCATCCTTATGGGCTTTGACAGATGAAGTGTTCAAGGACTTCTAGCAACTTATGATCATGTTAAGTTGGATGAGTGTTTTGAGTCACTAGTGCGTCTTGTTATTTTTAGTTTTATTGGTCTTTTCTATATTCTTTAACAACTTCTTGTTCTCAAATTCGTTGTAACGTTTCTTCTTTAGTAATATCTTGTTTCTTGTAATAATAATAAAGCAACCAGGTAATGTCGTAACTGGATCTTTCCCAACCAAATTAAAGTAGAAACAGAAACATGCAAGCTCACTATATGAATTTGAACCAGATTATAAGGGAAAGCTAACATCATTTATACGACAATCATTTGATGATAAGAAGATGGTTTTAATTACAACCTATATCAAGGAAAGACAAAGTACAAAGCTAGTAAAATATGGATGTAACAACTGCTGACAGAAAATAATCCTAGATGTGCCAAGTTATCTAAATACCAAACAGATATAGACATCATCACGTGGAATGTTAAAGAAACTAAATGGAATATACGACTCCTTACCTCTCACAGGAGTACCGTCCATCAACTCGAATTTTGCCAGAGTCTCTGTTTCAACATATGTATTAGGACCTGATCCAGTAGACTCTCGCCGCCTGATCTCGAGCTCCATTTTTTTCATCTTGATTCTCACAAGAAGAAAATAAATCTTCCCAAGTATGACATCTTTCAGGTAATACCTTTTTAATAGAAAATTTGAACACATGAGAATCTTCTTCTAGAAACACATAATTAAATAAACAAGATGAAAGTGTTCATACTTGCTTTTACTGTACTCAAACTCGATATGTAGGCAATCCTCAATTCCAACTTCCATCTGCAGGAAGTATCAATTCAACATAAAGAATAATAAAAAAAAAAGAGTAGAAGAAAAAGAGAGAAGATGGACCAATTTTCTTAAAAAGTATCATAAACAGGACATGACTGACATTGATTCCATCAGTTAACTCCAGACATGTGATGGTACTTAATTTTACTTGGTACGGTCAATTATCTGAAGAAAAATTGGCAAAGTAATAATCGAGAGATAATAAGAGTATAGGACAGGTACCTTAATGCTGTTATTGATTGATGGAGGTGGAGTGTAGTTTTGAACCTGATGCCAAATGTAAAAGTCAAATAAATTGAAAACAGAGGTGCTCTACAATGCCCCAAATCGAAACATTCAAATATATGTTGCCAGATAAAATAAGATTGAGCACATTTAGATGAGTGGAATATTTTTCAATAACGTAGTATTGTCTTCATAGCAAGACAAGATAGGACCGGCTTTACACAAGCACATAAAGTTGTTTAAAAGTGAAATTTTGCATTTTCTCCGAGTTCAGTGTCCTACTTTCCTTTTGCATGTTATAGAGTCAGTAGTCCAATTCAATTGAAACAGTGTGACTTGTAACCTTCAGAATACTAAATCCCTTGGCATTGGTTTAGACCCCAAACTTTTGAAATAAGGGTAGTACAACATCTATATCTCCAAAAGATATCAACAAAGAGAGCAGGTTAATGTGTGAAACCTTAAGGTCAAGCCGCAACCTATTTCCGATGCCTTTTGCTCTTTTGGTACATCCTTTTCATCACTTCCCTCATCAAAGACATAGTTTACAAGGCCAGGAATCATCAAACAGTAAAAAGAAAGTATTGTGCGTAGACATGCACAGGCGCTTCTGTGCAAGACTCAAATGCTAGTTTCAGAGATAGATAGTCACCGACATGAAGGTAAATAAAAGGTTAAACACACACAACACGAGTGCATGCGTGTGTGTGTGTTTGTGTATGTGTCATAATAATGCACACACAGCTTTAATTATTTAAAAAAAAAAAAAACACGAATTACCACAAAATCCTGGCACTCCACAATGTTGCTTACATAGTTTCGGCTAATTGTCACTTTCAATATGTACCTGCAAGTGTTTCAAAAAGTGCTAAGAGTAAAGAACTTTGTTTTCTAGAATAAAATACTGTGGATCCCAATGGGTTTATACAAACACCAAAGGTAACTAAAACAATACGCCAGAACTAGATGCAATGAAGAAATAGCAGCCTATATTAATCTACCATTAACAAAATGACCAAGGTTGGACGAGATTTCTAAGCCTTTCTCCCCAAAGGCCAATATTCTAGGGAAAGTAAAGACAATACAGTGCAAGAAATCTGTCATATAACCACATCAAGCAAGGAAAATACTCATTGCTTACACAATATTAACGAGCAAACTTTAAAAATTTCAAGGTGTGGAACAAGTTAGACAGGTGCATACCTAAGCCGTACGTTCACTCCATTGTATGACTCATATGGCATTTCAACAGTTGAAAACTCAAATGGATATGTCTTCTTCTCATAAAATTCACCGGGAATATCAAGCTCACGCACTGCAGAGAGAAAAAAGGGAATTAGAGCTTGTTTGACCACAAAATTAGAAGGCTTTAAATTGGAAATAAATGATCACATTAAGAAATTAAAATTTTCAGAAATGTCATGTCAACTAAGAATGGACCTAAAAGAAATATAAATTAAGGGGTTGCAAAAAGATATGATTTATATTCATAATGATGAACCTTACTAATTAATCATTGTGAGCGGAGAAAAAAAATGAAGAACAAACCTTCAACAAACTTACCTAGAGATGTAAAATCATAAAAATTGCCTCTGTCGAAATACAATTCTGAAATGGGGGCAAGAAAAAGTATAGTTATGATATTTGAAACCTTATTGTACCATATGCACAAGAGATGAAAAGTTCAGTATTAAAATCATGGAAACGAAACAATAGCTTGATCTGACCGCTTCTCCAATGGACTAATGCACATAGCTAAAAACCTATGAACATTTAAGTACAACATCAAGCTATGACATAAGTAAAGGAAACAAGTACCGTAGAAACTGTAATGTCCAGGAAAATCTCAGAACTAAATACTAAGTAATTAAGTATTTAAGCCAAGGATTTTCTTGGTAATCTTGCATTAATATTTTTGAATGAAGAATTTAGAATTTTAAGTCAATTTCCATAATTCTAAGATTAATGTTAGTTTCGGTATGTTATAAGTACAATTGCACATTTTTAATTACAATACCACTCAAGATTTGGAAACCTTCCACCTCAGTCTATGTTAGGCCCCTGGTAAGGAAAGTTTATGTGAGAAGGGCCAAGAGGGGTAATGTTGTGGGCCCGGGACTAAATGAAGTGGGCCAGCCGATGGAGGTGGGAAGTCCACCTGGGGATCCAGGAATGATCGGTTAGAGCTTGGGAGAATATCAGGGGAGTATCGCACCAGGAGGGAGGCATTGTGATTCTGTTGCATGTGCCGCTGCCTGGGAGTTTGGGGGTTACTCGAAAATCCTCCTCTATCTTAATTTTCCTGTACTTTGTTTCCTCTTCTTCCATTGTTGAATTCCAGAGCTTCTATGAGCTCCGAGTTGTTGTTTAACATTTTCATTCAATAAAATACAATCTGTTGGATTCCAGACTACCAATTTGTTGGCATTTCTTAGCTAAACACCTAGGACTCTAACAGTCTAAGAGGTGGAGGAAAATTCGATTAATAAGGTACTAGAAATTCAGTAAATAAATATATTTATACTATTCATTGACTGTGATAACCTACGAGACAACTAGGTCTAAGAAAGTCAAATAAGGACATTAAAAAGTGGATAACGTTTAAAAAAGGGAGCATGCTGTCTATTAGTCATTGAATAGTTGATTTAAGGTCTGAATGACTAGTTTTTACATTGGGAAAATTTTTCTCTTCCGTTTTGATTAAGTGGGCGCCAATATTAAGAGTGGGTTAAGCATGATTTTTGCGTCTTCAACCTCGCTTAGAAGCTTAACAAATCCTAGTTAGAAACTAAGCTCAATCAGTCCAAAAGTCTATAAAACCGTTTAGGTTTAATCAGAACTCATTTGGACAAACTTTTTCTATCTTCTTCACTCTTTGGCTGCCCCTCTTATTTGACATTCTTGGACCTACCTGTCTACTAGGTTAGCACAGTCAAAATTTGCACAGTTTCTGATCACTTGATCTGCTAAATTTTGCAATCTATAAAAATGTGTAGGTTTAATCAGAACTCATTTGGACAAACTTTTTCTATCTTCTCCACTCTTTGGCTGCCCCTCTTATTTGACATTCTTGGACCTAGCTGTCTACTAGGTTAGCACAGTCAAAATTTGCACAGTTTCCAATCACTTGATATGCTAAAAATCTCAGTCCAAATCCAGACTCCAAACGGGTTATTTCCGACACTTAATTGATCAAACGCTTAGTGCTTGTTTGGTTGGAGGGTTTAAATTACCCTAGTTTTGGTTCGAATAATGTTTTCTTTCATAAAAATTTAAATTAAAAAAGTTCTTCTGTAGTGTTTTCTCTCACAAACTTTGAATTCTGGTTCAAACAACCACCTTTCAAATGGGCCCTAAATGTGGATCAACTTAAATAGTGAATTTCCTATTCTTAGGTCGGGCCAAGCTCAGTTATCGAAAAAGTCTGCTCCCGGTCCAAAAATGACGGAAATATCCTTTTTAGCACTAATTAGCGCGAAACTCTCTAATTCTAGAATACGGGTTACTAAAGTCTCGTGAATGTGTTAAAGTGTTTGTCTGAACACTATTAACACCGTACCGTAATGGAAGCTCTTCTATACTGAATTCTCCCAGTACCTCATTAATTATATTTCTTCTACTTTAGATTGAGGTAGAAGATTTTCAACTATTGAACAATATTCTAATTAAAAATACGCAGTTATACTTATAACGTGCCGAAATATTAATCATAGAATTATGGAAATTGACTTAAAATTCCAAAACTCTTCATACAAAAATATTAATGCAAGATTAGCAAGAAAGTCTTGATTTAAATACTTAATTAATTAGCATTTAATTCTAGGATTTCCATGGACATTACAGAAACATAGCAAGCTGACATCCAATTCTAATCTAGAAACCCATTTCAATAAGATCAGGATTAATCAACATGCATTCTCTTCGACTTATCTACTATATCACCCTACTAAGACTGTCAAGCTTTTTCCAACTACCAAATAGCAAACAATTAAGGAATGCAATTTCTATCTTCTCAAACAAAGCATGATTTTTTTTTTCTTCTTTTTAATTAAGTTGGTTTTCTCACATATGTGCATGCGTGTGTGTGTGTGTCTAACATAAACAAAACAAAACTGAAGTGCTCACTGTAGGAAAAGAAACACATTATTTGAACAGATTGAGTATATTGATCTGCCAAGAAAAAGGTAGTTTGCCGACAACAATTTTCATAAATTTGTTAATTAAACAAAAGAAGAAGAGAAAAAAAGAAAAGTGGGAAACAACAACATAGATGTGCTTGAAAGTTTCCAAGAGATCGCAAAGTCTTTTGACAATATCTTATCAATTGTTTCCCAACTGAAAAATAAACTCTTTTATTATTTTCAGTCTCAATTAAAAGTTCTGCAGGTCAATTGAGGATATCAATAATGAATAAAGAAATGTACCAATGATTTCAAAACTACTTAGTATCAGGAAAAGGAACCAGTTGCTTTTACAGGCGACCACAACACTTGCCCATTTTTTGTGGCCTTGATGAGAAACTTGTGGATTAAAAGATTCTACAACATTCAGTATAAAGAACACTGATGCATTTATCATTACTGCAAAAATTTACTACAAAGATAGATTTAATTGATTTTTCTACTAAATAAAGGAACAATGCATACAGCAGGTACAAAAGCATGCTTGTCCAACACATATGAAGAAAGGCTCAGTACTTGTAAAGGAAACACACCTATTTGACCCAGGAGCTCAATTTTAACACCATTGTGTTCAAGCTTCTTCCCCGTTATTGGTTCTATATTAACCTGAACATGGCAATTGCAAGTTTTAGTCCGATAGCTGCAATTGGAAAAGTTAGCCAAGTCCAGTTGGATATGCCATTCATAAGTTGTAAACAGCATAATTAGCAATATTAGCACAAAACATACCTCCCCAACAATGTTTTCTTGACTTTGGAAGAGAGGAACCATAACTGTTTGACCGTTTTCCTTTTTCAAGGGAACCTACAAAAGACAAATAGATATATAGGATATTGCAAGATTCAAGGTAAAATGCTTTGAGAAAAGAAACTTGAGAAGAGCATTTAGCATGTCTATTCATTTTTTTTTTCTTTTCTGTTATTCGTGAAAATAGAACCATAGTTGTATGATAAAAAAACACACAAGAGTCGACTTTCACAAAGCTAGAAAGTAGAAACTTTGAGGTGGTGGAGCCAAAAGGAACTAACCTAACATCACATTACTTCTCAACATTCTTCAATTTGTTATCTAAGGCCCTCATATGTATAGATGGCTGTTCACAACAAATAATGGGGATTTTTATCCTATACATAGAAAGTCTCAGTTTCAGGCGATGTGTGTATACTGAATGAAAAGCAACATTCCACAGTCATCCTAATATTCTTATTTATGTTTGAGGATCGCTTGGGTCCTTTTCTGTTGTATTCTTCTTATTTTTATTAATAAATCCAATTCACAGTTCTCGTTTCTTTTCCAACATACATATATATATATATATATATATATATATATCATCAACAATTCCCGGTGGTAGTAATGCTAATTATGCACTTAAGAATCTCCTAGATTTATTTGAAGGTTATTCAACGATTACAAAACAAAACAAAAGGAACTGGAGCATGTATTTCCATCAGTAGAATACCTGCTTGCGGTTTCTTCCATCAGCAAATGTTACCGAAATATTACATGGCTGCTTAAAAGCTCCAATAAGGAAATTCTGAAAGACATTGATGTAAAAAATTCTCTCACTCGAAATGTGTCGACGATAGATATATAATAGAAAATAACAATGATGTTTTTTTCAAATTTGAAAGTGCAAAAAGATTTACCATGATATTATAATTAGCTTTTATATTCGAACTTCGTCATGCATGAAGAACCTGGAAGCAGAAGAAAAGTTTAACATTCGAAATCCATTCAAATAATGTTTCAAAAACAAAACTAATAACAAGAGGCCAACAAGGTGTTCAAGTCTGGAAAAATCTTTGACATTAAACGTTGTCAGACTTCTGAAAATAATAGTACTCATTAAGCCATGGTTCTATAATAGAAGTGCCAGGTTACTGCACACAATGTCCTGATTTCATTTGTTGCCTGACAAGATGTAGCAATAAGGGTATATATATGGGGTGGTCATCTTAACCTTTTTTTGTTTTAATATAGGAAAGAACATAAAGTCTGCGATGGAAACAGAGTACAATCAGGCAAAGGAAGCCAATGTGGCAATAACGCAGTATTTCAGACATAGAGCAGTGGTTTTCTGTATTAAGAATATCACTAAAGCTAACTGATAAATTTTTCGGTTTATTCAGGTGTTGGTAGTCCTAGAATATGGCAGGTTTTCTATGTTACTGGTGAGGCTTGAAAATTGGTGAGACCCAATAAAATACATAACACAATCTACACAGACTATAAAAGAGAGGCTATTGCCTGAACCATAGTTACTTGGACCTTTTCTTTTTCAATTTTCACTTGGGTAGCAATGGACCAATGTCTTTTGAATTATTTCATTTTTGCCATATAAGCATCTCCAATGCAATGCTATAATTGATGTGCCAATTGTAGATTTAGCATTTGAGCGCAAAAAAACACTCTCCAATGCAATGCTATTCCTATTTGTTGTGCCAAATTTGCCATATGCTATATTTTGCGGCAAATTTCTCGGCAAGTATAGCATATGGCAAATTTGACACTTGATGCCTATTGGTTGATATATGGTTACTTTTTCATTTGATCATATTACAAATTTTGCCTTTTCAAATTATTTTAAAATTAAAATTTTACTTTTACAACTTTTAAAGCTTATTGATTATAGAAAAAGTAGATTTTAGCATTTCAAATAGTATTATGCATTGGAGCACAAATGAAAATAATATGTATATACGACTGGCATTTGCATTGGAGATGGTCTAAATTCCAAAATTTGCATTTTACTAGAAGGAGATCTAATTGTCGCCTCGCATTGCAAGTAAACCGTATATGAAATATGACACCAAACCCGGCTAATTAATGATCAACTAGAATCAGTATAATAAAAACATTTAAAAGGAGAGACATTATCAAATAACTTTTTCTCCTTCTAGTTCCATACTACCATACAAACAAAAAGAGAGAGAAATAAACACAATTTTTTTTTTTTTTTCCTGGATTGGGAGGCCATCAAGGCAGGTCATAAATGATTTAGGGAGCGTTTGGTATGAGGTAATCTTAAGGGTGGGAATGAGAATCTGAAAGATTTCTATGTTTGGTACAATTATTGAACTTTTTTAAAACCCAGGAAAGTGAAGCCCATGGGATTCACATTACCACATTTTGGGGTAATCCTAAACCCACCTAATAGAGTGTTATTCACTTTCTCAGGAAAGTAATATCACGGGAATCAAAATCTCTCTCACTAATTTGTTCTCAGCCCATACGCCTATCTCGACAATGAGGAACAATTTAATGCACTACGTCGTTTGAGATGATCGTCAGTTTGTAATTCCGTTGGAGAAGAAGTTGTCGTCGCAGCTTGCTATTTGGAGAACGCCGTCACAAGATGTGGTCGTTTGCCGGTAGCGGTGGAGATTTCACCGACATTTGAGTGACTCCGTTCTCTTCATAGGATCCGACGAAGATCTCCACAGAAGCTCATTCGGCTGATCTGGCTGTCAGCCAACAAAGTGACATCGGGGATCTCTCGCCGATCTTGCTCACATCACCTTCAAGAAGATGGAAGGTATGGTCTAGATTCACAAATGATTGAATAAAAGGGTAAAACTGTCTTCCGCCTATTCAAAAGTAATGGATTTCAAAGGAAATCAAAGAAGGTGGTATTCTTGAATCAATAATCATGCACATAATGGTAGCCAGACTAATTAACTATTGGGTCAGGTCTTTTTTCTATAAGGTCAATATAATTTTTTTTTTTTTTTTTGAGAAATCGTAATAGCCCATTTTATTAAACCATTTGTAGTAAAAATAAATAGCATAGTTTAAATTTTCAATACATTGTGTTACAATTTTATCCTTATATTATTTTTATGTGGTAAATGTATTTAACCAAGAAATGCTTCATTTAGCAAACATTAACTTTTTAAAATTAGATTTGACATTTAATTTTTTTAAAATTACATTTTAACCCCTTAAATGTTTTTTTTTTAATACACAACATTCCTATACACAACCAAACACAATAATGTATTATTCCTGGGAATTTGAGACAAGATTCATGTATGGAACCAAACACAGTAATGTATTATTCTTGGGAATCATATTACCCTCCATCACTTTCCCAGGAACATGATTCCTATTGATTACTGCTTACCAAACGGCCCCTTAAGGGCATGTTTACTTTGCATGAAAGGGAAAGGGTAAGTAAGGAGTGATTCCTTTTTCCCATCTAATAATGTGTTTACTTACAAAATTAGTAATGGACATTTAGTGAGCCCCACACAATATACAGAATGAGAAAAGAGAATACCAATTCTTGCACCCCCTTAGTATTGATTCCTTATAAAACGGAATAAATACTAAATTTAATTATCTACCCTTAATAAATTACTATATACAACCAATGATTATTTAGTTGTGTAAAAGGATATCTTAGTGAATATTGCTATTCCTAATTTTAGTAAACATAAAAAATGGAATGTGGTTGTTTCCCATTACAACACCTAATAGTCAAGTAAACACATAAAAAGGAATGAATGACCATTAATCCTATTACTTTACTTTTCTTTCCAATCCCATTATCTTGTCCATTACATTCCTTTACGGTTTAGTAAACACGCCTAAAGTTAAACATATCAGACACTTAAAAAATAAAAATTTATGTTTTATGGGGTTTCCCCCGAAAGCACAATGCTAGGAAGGAAAAACCTTGGAGTTTTACAGTACTAATTTAACAAAATTATCTTAAAAATGGTAAAATTCCCTCCTAATGACAATCTTTAAAAAAAAAATCTAAAAAAAATCAAACTTCTTGCTGATCATCTCAGGCCATAACATCTCCACTTGACCACGAAATTGAAGTTTTCAATCTGTAGTGATATAGAGAGGCATGAATTTCTGAAAAGAAAACACTTTTCTTATTTTTCTACTTCCCTCACCTCTTCATTTCGGCATTGATGATCTGACAAACTCTTACCCCCAAATTCAACATGCCCTAATAAATGCAAGTCACCACACAACTCCTAGGCGAGCAAAATCATCAATAAAGAATGGAATTGCAACCAATATCACCTCAATTTCCTCGAATTTTCCCGGTTACCAAACAAAGCACAAAGACTAAGCTAAATTACTGGACTTCCGTCCAAATTCCGCAATTCGAACCAGAAATTGAGAGAAAATAGACACAGAACTAGAGCGAGCGTGAGAGTAAGTACCTGGTGAAATCTTGAAAGAGAAGGTACTCGATCAAAGCTAGGGCTGTATCGGTTATGGAGGTAGTGAAATACGATTTTGAATCGAATCGAAGTGAAGAGGAAGCAGATCAGAACAGAGAAAAGAGTTTTATCCTCTGTTACTCTTTAAACAGAGTAACAAACAAACCGTCAACTTACAGGCAAGACTCAAGACAGCCACGATTTGGATGCATTGCTTTTTTACGGTGAGGGAAAAGTAACCTTTCAAAAAGAAAAAAAGAAAAACAAAAAACAAAAAATCTCTGGTAGTCCCAACCGAGTTTTTGTCACACAAAATTAAAAAAATATGCATATAACTTTTAATTTAAATTTAACTGTTAAAAATAAAGGATTATTAATAGTTAATTTTTTTTTCTAGTCTTATAAAAAAAAACTCTTAAAAAATTCTGAAAAGTACAAACATGCTATCCAATAGGGCCTTCTATCTGTAGGTGAATTACCGTTGATAAAAAAAATGTGCATAAAAGAATTTTTTGATACAAATTTTAACAGTTGAAAAAAGAAAAAACCCACCGGTAGTTATTTTTTCATATGACACCATAAAAAAAATTTTCATATGCTACCACAATAATTTTCCTAATTTGCAAATTGCAATGTAATAATTAGGAAAAGGCATGTGTTATTATTTATTTCAAAAAAAAAAAAAATGGAGCTCAACTTAATTAGGAAGAATAGGTTTTTTTTTTTTTTTTTTTTTTTTTTTTTGGCATCTCTCCTGTAATAGTTGTCTTGTGCAAAACTTTTTGTCAAAAATAGTTTTCTATCAACATTTTATTCATTTCTATTTTATTGCATTGTTTATGTGATGAGTAATATAGAAACTTTATTCTAAGAGAGACAATCTATCTATAGGGAAAATGCAATTAAGTACATATTCAAAGAAAAAAATCAATGGCAACAAACTATCTAATTTTTTGGCAAAATTTGCTTTACCTTAAATTATGAACTTATTTAGTCGCTCAATTTAATTTTGTTATAAAAAGCCCAGTAATGCAAAATATTCTTTTTCTTTTCTCAGGAAAGGTGGAAAAAGGTTGTCCTCTCAAAAATAAAATAAAAAATACAGCTCACAAGTTCACAACTTGATCAAAGTAGCAAATTTATGAGAGGATATCATGGCTCAATGCGAAATTAAGTATATCAGACAAAAATTATGTCATGGCTCAATACACTTGCACCATGTATATATATTGGGTTAAAAAAAAAAAAAAAAAAGTCAATCTTCTTGCACTGAGCCAAGGCAATCAAATAAGATACTACAGCCCAAGTTTGTAATTTACAGAAGAAATGAGCCCTGTAATTGTGGACCAAAATGCAATTAAACTCGCTCAATTCTCAAATGCCGCCTTCATCTTCTTCTGCATCATCCCCTTTTAGACTTGGATTTGAATATACTCTCTTTGTAGTATTTGAGTTCCTTGATGCTTTCTCTGATATCATCCATGGCTCTGTGTTTACCTTCTTTAGCTGGGGCTTTCTTCTGATCTGTAAAACTCGCGGTAGTAGGTCGATTAACTAACTACTTATGGGAAGAACTGGAGTCCCTCAAAAAGAGGTAGGGAGAGACTGAAATATATGCAGCACAAGAAGATAACCAAGGTTGTGAATTATGATTATTACAACCTCTGCGGAGATTACATAATTGATACCACAAAAGTCGCGGTTATTCAAGTTTATGCATGAAGACGAAACAGGACATCTAAAAAGAAAAAAAAAACGATTGAATCCGAATCAGGGTGATGACAAGTATGCAAAATTCATATTAAGGATTCAACTCATTTTAGCACCCGAATTATAGGTCATATCCCATTTTTGTCAACGTCCTAGAACAAGTCCCTAATCTACTACTAAATTGTCCCAAATCAGTCCTTTTGTCCATTTGACAGTTAAAATTTCAATGGAAAAAGGGCACAATTTTCTTCTTGACAGTCCTTACGATGTAAAATTACAAAATTAACTATCTTCAATGAGAATTTCCTTTATATTTCTAAGCATCCTTAATGCACTCTACACTAGTTTTGCGTCATGGTCAGCATAATTCTACTTTAGTTATTCAAGATGAATTTAAATTTAGCTAACGACTACCGACTTTATAGTAAAAACTGGTCAAATTAGAAAGCATTTCAAGTGCCAGAAGAAGTCAATCTTGCCACTTAAAGTAGCCTGCACAGACCTCCAGTAAGGTTATAGCATATGCCTTAAGAGTTCATAATTTCAGATCATTTTATTTCTAAGGAATGTAAAAATAAAAGTAGCTTCCATAAATTTACATGGTGATTAAAGCTTTACCTCTAGGATACCAGCGAATGCATAGCGCTTTCACGCTGCTGACATCAACTACTACATGGGAGAAAAGGCTAGCCAAATCCGGCATGTATTTCTGAAAAAAAAAGGGTTAGGAAATGCTTATGAACCGTTTAAAGTCGAATAAAAACCTGATAACGAATAGAGGAAAGAAATAATTTGCTCATGTTTTTCAGAAAAGAAATACATTATTTAACTAGATCACCTACAATTATATGAGGTTACTTTCAAGAAAAAGCAATCACGTTACCTTTAGAAATATGAAATCCATATAAACTGAATTTCCTGCTAAATGAGGCGTGTACGTGCCGACATTCTTTTTCACAAATTCGATAACCTGCATAAGTCAAGAGTATGAGCCATGACAACCTAAATTTTGAGAGGATAAAAAGGCAACAAGAAGATTGTTATTCAAAGTTGCATTCTGAAGAAAATATATGACCTAGAGTGTGGTATCTGTATATCCTTGGACTGCATACAGAAGTCAAAACTTATGGAAAATGAAAATTGATTATTTACAACACGATTTCATGTGTAAATAAGTGAATGAGCACTGATCACAAATAGGTTTTAAAGGAATATCAATATATATCTCAGTTTTTTTTTTTTCCATGTGTAGACATAAACTAGTTATGTTTCGTTTAATTATTTCACTAATAACCAAATTTTATAATTTCCATTTCCATATACATAATACACACACACACACACACACACAGAGTCAAACTCGAACTGTCTTGATTTCTAAGTCTTCTGATGGGAGCAAAGAGTCAAAGACAATTGAAGGTTGTCAACACAACTGGTCGAATTGTGACATGTTGAAGAGTTGGTGCTAGAAAACTGAAAATTAGCAAGGGACATACAAATAACCAAAATTCTTACAAACCTGTTTTTCTGCTTCTCTTTCAATCATTGTACTGTGGAGCACTTTTTTTGTCAGCCCTGTAATTGTTAAAATCAGTTAGAAATAGTAAGTCATGCAATCTTACTAAATGCAAGTAAGGTTACATGCCTATGAATATGACTAGTAGATGTAAAGAAGATACAACCAATTCATATGGTAACTAGAGAATAGAGATTGTGTTGAACCAGTGGATATTAGCTGCTTACCACTAGCTGCGTGATGACTTTGACACCATTCTCCCATCTGATCTAAACATTCCTTACTTTGGTGGATGACCAAATCAGGACCCTAAAGAGGAAAAATACCCTGAATCACAAAAAATAAAGAGAAAAAATAGAAGAAAGAGGAAAATTATCCTGAATAGGAAAAGGGAAAAGAAAAAAAAAAAAAAAAAAAAGTCATTGGTAAGCTGTTACGACTTTCTTCTCTATACTTCCAAAAGTTCAAGAGAGCTTGATGGGGAAAAAATGAAATGCTTCTCTTTTTCATTTTGAAAATCCAATAATTTTCCAGACCCACGTAGCAGGGTTTAAGTGTAAAATTTGAACCCTGCCGAACATGACAATCTTTGAAATGCATGAAACCATGGCTAGTCAGCAACATGTGTTTTTGCGTGATTTAATCCAGACCATATGGGAGCAAACTTAAGAATGTTGTCCAGTAACTAACACCCAGGCTTGTTCTCCTGTTTTTCCGTTATATACTTTTCATTGCTATTGAATAAATGTAAAACCAAGACCACAAGCTCCACTTTATATGACCAAATCCAGTTGGGTTGTCAATGGACTGCGCAGTAGCACCAAAAGGATTCATTTTATATATCGAAATTCTGGGATTTGCTTGTTCCATTGATTGTAGAACAGTACAGGGGGAATCCTTTTAGTTATTGTAAGTATAAGATCCGACTGTGCACAGTCCATCTTTACCTATAAAACAACTATTAATGTGCTAAAAGTAAAAACCATAACTATTAACTAATAGCACTATAAGTAGTATGTTGTGTTAATAGTTTAACATTAGAATTGTGCTACTTTAAAATGGCGATAAGTGACAAGTTAATCCAAAATGAGAAGAGTAAACAAAGAGAATAATAAAAAAAATGATAAAGAATAAATCTTAAATAAGAAAACACAACAAACCCATTCTCACACATCCAAAAAGCAATATTAAAGGGAGGAAAAAACAATAAAGAAAATTTAGGTTCTTAATTCTTATTACAATACAGAAATGGGAAAAATACCTCCACTGATTTGGTTAAATTTCCATCAGTAATTATGCAGGCAATTTCCAATATTCTATCAACTTCAACATCTAATCCTGCACATACACAGAAGTAAAGAAGAATGGAGCTATTGGTATCAATTTCATGTCAATGCACAAAAACTTGACTAACTATTGAAAAAGTAAGTAGCTATTCTAAACAGAAGCAGGAAATTTTTACCTAACTCCTATGCTAAGACTCATAAAAAAGCATACTTGAAAATGCAGGAAAGTTTACAACTAAAAAGCATAATTGGTTCTATTACCAAGAGTTAGTCATAAATTTATCATTTTCTTTATTCATTCGTTCTTTTTTTTTCACGAGTTAATGAAAACAGAAAATCAATAAGTAGAAACAAGAACATATATATTTTTTAATAAACAACGACCTTCCATTGAAGGTAGAAACTAGCACATATCGAAGGTGTCTTTCGTGCAAGAAGCTAAAAGGAAAGTTAAAATCTGTAGTAAAATTTTTTTTAAGATGAAGCAACAGGAAAGAAATTGAAAAGTTACAATAAGTGGGTTGTTTCTGGAAAATGCAGGACTTAAATGAGAAATGTACGTAAAGTCCAAAAACTTTATATAGGACTCCAAACTTTTTAAATGTTGACTGAGACACTAAAATTGAAATAGAGTTGCAGTGTTGCCAATGAGTATATTAGAATTTCGGTACTATATGTAGGTGGGTAATATAAAACCCCCTCAATTTCTGCATGGAAAAAAGGAACATAGGAACTTTCAACATAAATTGGCTGAAATTTGAGCTTTTCATTTCCAAGGCATTTTCAGAACCATAAATTTTCAAGTACTTTCACAATCATAAATGTCAGCAGCACTTCCATATGTTCCAGAATTCAAAGAATTTGGTTTTGGATAGGGTTTAGAAGTCCACTTTATCTTAGCCAATTTGGACATCTTTAGCTATTAGAAATTCCTTCTCCATGAGAAGAATTTCAAGCAAGAAATAAAGAAACTTTCCTAGCAAAAACTTTCAGAGAACTTCCTTTCAATGATTAGATTCCATTCAAATATCTAGGAGGGACTTGTAAAAGACCTTGGAGATAGCAGGCATTCTTTTGTAATGTTCCAAAACAAATTTACCAGTCATCTCTAAATCAATCCACACGAGAGGCAACTTGTACTCTGCTGGAGGAGTGTCTAGGTTTTGTTGATTGTTCTTATGTTTTTCTACTATGGCCGTGCTCTTAGCTTCCTTATCTTCCACACCTGCATCAAGAATTCTATAACAATTAGTAAGACCAACTTTGACCGGTCCAACGAGTCCTTGAAACAAACCCAAAGCAAATAAGAGATTTTTCAGTCAAGAACAGGAAAATAAGAACGGGAAGCCCTAAGCAGCACAAACTAAAACATGACTGACAACCTCAAACATACCAAAACCTTAAGCATAGCTTCTGTAGAACTGAATACACCTTTAACATAAATGATAAAACTAGTTCTACGCCTCTTACTCCGAATTGAATTATACTCTTTAGAATCTTATTTATAAAGATCAAGTTTTCTCTTACTAAAGGGGAAAACAAACAAACAGATATAACTAGCACATTTCCTAAGAGCCCACAGTCTTTCGTCTCCATTGTCTATAAAAAACGGCAGAAAAAAGCGGTGTCATACAAAGTGTGGCGAAAAGGCATTTCTCAACTTGACAGGATAACAGAATATGATGGAGAGAAAAAACAGAGAGGGGGAGAGACAACTTTCTGCGGCTATGTTTGTGTTGGAGGGAAAATAGCCGGGAAAGAAATGCATATAACCTACATACAAGGGGAGAGCTTTATCTTATTGTGTTTGGTATGGATTTCCCGCTCTAATCTCTCCATGCCGAAAGAGATTAAAGTTGAGGTTTTTTTTTTTTTTTAAATCTCTCATTCAATTCATTCTCTCCTGTTTCCTATCCTACTAATCATGCCCTCAAAATCCTCCTACAAATCCCCGCACCCCTCTCCCTCCTTCCACTTTCCCCTCCTACCAATCATGGTGTTTGTATCCAAAGATGGATTTAAAACAAAATTCACCTCCCCTAATCCAAGTCCAAATTAGAAATGAGAAGTTATAAACTATTGTCCTATGGATGATTTTAAATCCCTTTCCTAATCCAATTCCCTCCATAATCTCTGCTAAGTCCTACCAACAACTATAAACCCAAAATGCACCCACTAATCCCTCCTTCCACATTTCCCTCCTACCAAACAAATTCTTAGATCATAAATAAAGGAAAAAAAAAACAGAGGAATTGCTCAAAACCCAGATGCTAAGAACAAATAACACAACAAAAGAACACGGCATTGGAATAAGATTTTCAATATCAACAAGAGCAATTCATCAAAGGAACATCAACGAGAGTAATCTACTATCAAGAAATTTCAAAGATTTCCATAATCCCAAAATTGAAAAGAGAAAAAATTAAAAATTAAAAATTAAAAGAGAGAGAGAGAGAGAGAGAAAGCTATGGTAAGAAGAAGTAACCAGAATCGGCAGAAGCGCAGACTTTGGCTTTGGAATCGGCGGAAGACGACGCCGTTCGCGCCTGATCGTCGTCTGGGGCGTCGAGCACTAGCACAGAGAACGCATTCGCGAGTCGCTCCATTCTCTCTATCTGTCCCTCTCTTGTTGAAGCTTCGAAGAGAGAAAAGCGAGCTAATGAAGAGGGCTGTCAAAATCTAGGGGTTGTTATTTTGCAAATGTAACCGAGATATAATTTTATTTAAATTTATATATTTTTTTTAAAATTTGAGTTTGAATATAAGTTTGGGGTTAAATTTAAGTTTAAGTTTATTTTTTAACTCAAATTTATAAACTCAAACTCAAGTTAATAAATAATATTTTTTTTAGTTTTAAAAATGTCATAATTTTTTCATTTTAATTTTGATTGAGATGATTTTTTTATGCATTCACAACGAAAAGATGAATAAAACCCCACATATATAACCTATTAAAATTTTTCATTACCATTGAGTTTTTATTAAAATACTATATAAATATAAATTTAAGTTTTGACCCACCAAAACATAAACTCAAACAGATTATCAATTCAAATCATAACTCAAATGTGCACATCCAAACACAAACTCAAGTTACAACTTCAACTCAAGTGATAACTCAAACTCAGCTCAAGATCATCACTCAAGTCACCTTAATTCAAAAGTGTAAAAGAACAACCCTAAAGTCTCTCAAAACACGATTAAATAGCGTCGTTTTTAGGTTGATCCATCGACACATAATTAATTCACCGTAACTCATTTATTAAACGTGTCATATTTAAATAACATAAATACAAAATATAATTACAACCCATTTGTTATCTATATTTACAAATATATTTTTTAAGAGAAAAAGATAAATAATTTTTTTTTCTTCTCTCATTTTTTCACTCCATGTTGAAGCTAGGTTTTTTTTTCTACCGCCGCTCATTCTCTTCACCGTTTTGACCCTCTCTTTCTCTCAAAAGTCACCCACCCTTGCAACCTTCCTTCTTCTTCGCTTCTTCTTTTCTTGTTTCCTTCTTTCATCTCCACCCTATATGTCATCTCTCTATCTGATTCGGCTTTGGGAAAGTCATGTTCTTCTCATTTCTTTGTCGGATCGGCCTTCGTGAAGTTTAGTTTTTCTCATTTCTTCATCAAATTCGGCATTCGGGAAGTTAGATTTCAAAATCTACGCTCAGTTTCAGGTATTTCCCCTCTCCATTTTTTTTATTTTTTTCGTTTTGATGATTTGATCTATGTTTGTGGTTTTTATTTCTCTTCGTGTTGATGATTTGATATGTGTTTATGATTTGGATTTATAATTTTTTGTTTATGGTTTGATCTGTGTTTGGACTGATGGTATTTCGCCTGTCCTCACAAAAAAAAAGCAATTTAAGGCTAACCTCTCATGAAGATGGTTTCATCACGAATGCGAAAATTCATTAATGCAGAGTTTTACTAATTTGCAGCTGGGGATGTCATTGAAGAGGAATTTGAAATGTAGAATTGCTTTGAGTTTTGTTTTGTTTTGTTTTTTTTTACTGATTGCTTTATGATGATGGTTGGTTATGCGTTGTTTACGCGCATCATCCTTGTTTATGCGTTGTTCCATAGCTTTAGGAAGAGCCAATATCCGTTACCTAAGATGCCAATTAATGTAACTTGCAAACAATATGTTATAATTGGGTTCAGAAATAGGTTAACACGATTCATTTATCACTCATTTTATAAATGGGTTGGCAGGTAAAAAATAGGTTGATATGACACGTTTATGATCTATTTAATAAATGAATTAGTCGTGTCGTGTCAACTTGCTAATATACAGGTCGTGTTTGGGTTTTGTATTTCGACACAAATAATAAATAGGTTGTGTTCGTGTCAGGCCTTACCGTATCAACTGAGGGAGTCAACATGACACGAATACAACATGGCAACACGAATTGCCACCCCTACTAATAAATAATCAGTCAGGACGGACTTTTGTAATCGTGATTTTATCATCATCTTCTTCTTCTTCTATTTCTTCTTGTGTTTTGGTTGTTCATTTTCTCAGTGGGAGACTGACAACGCAAAAGAGAGGAATTTTATAAAGGTTTATGTATGACTTACTTCTACAAAAGGAAGACTCGAGCCCCGCCCTCTACAACGTCTTCTTTTACAAAAATTTAAATTCAATTAAGATAAGCAATTTGTATTGCTATGTCGAGTTCATATCATGTCATATCTATAAGAAAATATTATAACTCTTAACACAAATACGACATATTTAATAATCGTGTTAGAAGACAAAACCCAAATATGATTATTTAATTAAAGAGTTGACACGAACAAGACACAGCTAACTTATTTACAAAACGAGTTGTTACCATGTCGTGTTAACTTGAACCACATTTATAGCTCATTTACTGAAATCCATTTTTTAAGCTAAAAATATTTAAAAGAAATTGAAAAGATCCCAACAACTTAACAAAATAGTAAACTTAAAACAATAAAATAAAGTACTAAACAGTAAACAACAATCAAACACAAAAAATAAGATCAATTTTTACATATATTTATAAAATAGGTTATAAATGGGTTCATAATGTGTCGTATTTGTGTCAATCTATTTATAACACGTTTAATAAATGAGTTATTCGGGTTAATTTCATTTTGGAAAATTCATGTCGTGTTGACCCTTTCTCTAATCGTGTTTGGCGGGTTCAACCCATTTTGACCCAAACTCATTTAAGGCAAACCCTAACACTCCAACTTCATGCCGGTTTTGTGTTATGTTGTTGTGTTGTGACCTTAATCTAACCCTAGGTAGAACTCATCCCTAAAAACTACCCAAACCACATGTAAACATCCCAACAGTCTAGTAACTTAGCGATGTAAGACAAATTCACAATCTAACACCCTTTCTCACACCTAATATGAATCCGGCTCTAAAATCATGTTAAATGAGCCTCGGATAGAATTCATCCCTAAAAGCTAGCAAAAAGAAAGAGGAAGCCCAAAGCACATATAAGCATCAAGCAACCCAACAACTTTAGTGATGTGGGGACAAATTTACAATCCAACATTTACTATATGTTTTCTTATATGTTTTCTCACTCATTTATTAGTTTTCAGGAGTTTTTTGGTAGGGGTTCCCTATGAATAGAGTTTGTTTATATAGTTAAATCATATCAGATTGAAAAATAAAGAGAAAAATGTAGGGCACGTTTGGAACTCGTTTCAAAATGATTTTATTTTTTATATGAAAATGAAAATGAAAACGTTTTTAACCTTAGATATAAATCATTTTTGAAAATGTGTTTGGTAGTTTTATCAAGATATTATTTTCAGTGTAAAAAAACCCATTAATGTCTCTCTTTCTCTCTCTGCTCGAGAGAGGAGAAAACAAAAACAAAAAATGAAAAATGACTAAAAATTATTTTTCTTTTCTCTCTCATTTTACACTAAACCAAAAAATCATTTTTATTTCCGTTTTTTATGTTTATTGCGTCAAACGCCATTTTAGAATCATTTTTATTTTTTTTTCTCGAAAAACGTGAAAATAAAAACGATATCAATTCTAAACACGGCCGTAAGCTTCTAACTTATTTTAACATATTAAAAAAAGAGTACCATTACTGTGCTTTTTTACACATAAATAGTTTATGATAATGCTAAAAAAAGGAAACAAATTAATAAATTCAATCTAGTGCAATTAGATTTGTAAGGATTTTACATAACCAATTTTTTTAAATTAAATTACATAACCAATTAAAAACACACCATTTTATATATTTTTAGTTTTAATTATAGTTGAGCTATTTAAAGAAATATTTAAGCACGACAATTAATTTAGAATGTCAAAGTATGATTGAGCTCTTATCTGTTCATTTCATAATAATTTAACACACCAATTTTTTTAAAATGAGGAACCAAGCTCTCTATCGCAAGATAACACCTAGCATATATTAAAATATAAAATAACATTTTACTTTTTTTTAATGCATTTCAATATATTTAGACACGACTAAGGATGGCAACGAAGGTGGATTTAAAGGAGGGTGGTCTTCTCGTCAACCCGTCCTATAAATAAAAACACTCTTCATACCTTTTTCATGAACCCACATAAGTTGACGGCTTATAGGACATATTTCTCGATCACGATTTCAGAACATTCATGGTGCCCCATTTACCCGAGTAGTTATTTTTATTGTAAAATAAATAAATAATTAATTAAACAATACAAACATACAAAACATTAAGTTAAAAATAAAAGAAAAGTAATTTAAAATTTATATATATATATATATTATGTGATAGATTGTACTTAAAATTATTATTATAGCATATTATACATAATATATCTAATTTAAAAATAGTATAGAATTAAACGGGGTGGGTAAACGAGTAATAGGATTAGGGACCTCTAAACTCCTTCCCCGCGACAAGTTAAAAGTTTAACCTATTTACAATTCGGATCCATGTAAAACGGATTTTCTCCCCTTTGTTTAATGTGAATCCCTATAGATAAATGGGTTAACCGATAAAATTATCATCCTTAGACACAACCCTAACATGAAATTGTCAACTAATATATGGCTGCGTCGTATTTTTATAAGGCATGATTACTAAATGCATATTTTGTAAAATGAGATAATTGTGCATTGCATTTAGAAAAGTGTTAGCATCACTCTTTCTGTCACTCTCTAAATTCACTGTTTGACATTGCACTTTACTAACATGATATAGTTCTTTAATATAAATTCTTTCTATTTTTATTATTTTATAAATTGTCAACAATGGAAAAATAAAAATAAAAACAATGAGTGCATTTGGAATTGTTTTTGAAAACGTTTTCACACGTCTTTAGGCACGAAAACGAAAACGGTTTACAAATCGTGTTTGTTTAATAAAAATTTTGAAAACGGAGACGAAAACAAAAAACAATGAGAATGATTTTTGTAAAAAAAGTAGAAAACGATTGAAAATTGTTTTCTCTTTTCCGTTTTCAATTTCTAGTACTTATCAACAAAGTTATATTAAATAATTAATTATTAATTAATAATTATATTATATATTAATTAATAATTAATAAATAGATATACTAAATAACTAGTAAATAGATAGTGTTTACGTAATTATTTGTAATGCCTCGAGAAATTAAACGAGATTAATTAAGGTAATTAAGATTTATTAGCGTG